CTTGATAGAAATGTAGTGGAGTGAAAAGTACAATATTTGTCTTTCAAATGTAGTGAAGTTAAAGTCATAAGTTCCCAGAAAAAATAATACTCAAGTAAAGTAACAATACTCAAAAAGTGTACTTAAGTACAATACTCAAGTAAATGTACTTAGTTACTATCCGCCTCTGCAGCTGACTGACATGATCTCGTCCTTATGTTGTGTTGCGTAAAACAATATAATTTACACCACATTAAAGATAAATAAAAGATAAATAAATTAAATGTATACAAAGCTTTATTTCCCAGAAAGAGTGCAACAAATTGGCGGTGGCGGGGCTGAGAACCGCTCTCTCCTGTGGACTTAAAAAGCCTGTGCTCTCAGCAGTTAAAATGACCCAGCACCTGAGTAAAAATATAAAAAATAACCCAATAAAATGACCCAACAAGCTGAACCCAGCATTTGGGTTAAAAAAAATAACAACCCAGCATTAAAATGACCCAGCACCTGACTAAAAATATTAAAAATAACCCAATAAAATGACCCAACAAGCTGAACCCAGCATTTGGGTAAAAAAAAAAAAAAAAACAGCACCTGAGAAAAAAAATTAAAAACAACCCAATAAAATGACCCAACAGACTGAACCCAGCATTTGGGTTAAAAAAAAAATAACCCAGCGTTAAAATGACTCAGCACCTGGGTAAAAATATTAAAAATAACTCAATAAAATGACCCAACAGACTGAACCCAGCATTTTTTAGAGTGTGGGTATCCTGTTTTTAAAGTCTTGCAGTCTTTAGAAGTATGAATCACATGAATTATAGATAATGGTGTAATTATGTGAAAACTGCAGTATTTGTAAACAGAGCTTCTCTACAGGGCGTGTTCCTCTTCAGTGCGGTGCAAATGGTTCCTCTTACAATGAACAACTATGTGTTCCCTAAATGGGGGCAAGGAGTGGGCTGGCTCATGGCTCTGTCCTCTATGGTTCTCATACCTGGTTATATGGGCTACATGTTCCTCACCCTGAAGGGAACATATAAAGAGGTAACAGTTTTCATTTAGAGCTGAAAGTAAATACAATAACGAGTGGTATAGACGGTATATCTGTGCTCACTGGAGCTGGTTCTGGGCTCATTTCAGCGGATCAGGATAATGCTGCATCCTCCAGCAGTCATGCGTGCTCAGGAGAACGGGCCAGACCAACAGCAGCTGCAGACACAGCCGCAGCAGATGGAGCAATCACTGCAACAAGAGCAGCAACCGGACCAAGCACCACAGCAACCACAATCACCACAAGCACCGCAGCAACTGCAACAACCGCTGCAGCCGCAGCCGCAGACGCAGACGCAGACGCAGATGCAGCCGCAGGCTGATAGTTCCTCTTCGACTAACCCTGGCAATGATGCCAATGTTTAAAACCAGTAGAAGTGAACCCCAGCAGAGAGCAATCAAAGATTAACAACACAGAAGACTTCCATGTTTATACAGTAATAGAATCATCTACCTCCAGGGGTCATACATAATCAAGCTAAAACATGAAAAAAGCAAAAGTAAAAAAAAAAAAAAAAAAAATATATATATATATATAAAAAACACAAACACAAAAACACTTGTGTTTGAAAAGCGTACACAAATAAATTCTGTACGTTTTTCAAATGTGAAGCAAAGCGTGTCAGTGTTAAATGACTTGTACTATGTATTATGTGAATTTGTCTCTACTAAGGTTATACTGTGAGTTAGATTTAAGGACAGTGCATTGTTTTGCAATGCATAAGCTATTTATGTGAGGTATGTACTGTTTCTATGTTGCACTGGGGACAAAGCGGGAGTGTTAATGAGAAACTGGGAGAGATTATGTTACATTCTGGGTTATTTTTGGATAACCAAGGTGTATCAAGCAAGCCCTGTGTCTAAAGCACAAAGAATTTCTAATCGGCAGAGCCCTTGGGTGACCCGTCACGTGTTGTTGGAGATTTTTGTTGAGAAAGACTGTTACTATTTTATTTTTTTTCTGAGATAAAAAAGAAAGAAATACTTGTATGTGATTAAAACATTTTTAGAATTATTTTTAGAATGCTTTGTACTTTAATGTTGAGACCAAGGACCAAAATAATAGACTTAAGCAAAAACAAATCTATGCCTGCCAATGTGTAGTTTGTAAAGCACAGGGAACAAAAAAACTAAAAAAAAAAAAAACAATAACAAAATGGAAACACCGCAAAAGATAGGGTGAAAATTTTTGTTGATTATTATACAGATTATTGATGAGTACTGTCAATTCAGTGTCCTGTTTACATGTCCCCTCAGGAATATCCAAAAAAAGAAAAAAAGGGAAAAAAAAAATCTCAGATATGTCTCTGAGCCTGAGTGCATATCAGCTCCTTAAGCCTGTGATTAATGTAGTCGTGATTTGCATGACCATTAGTTACTTCATGTGCCAAAATGTTGAATAGGTGCAGTGCTTAAACAAAACAGGAATGCACACAAACTGGCCACTCCATAACAATGGTTTACACTACTTGATTGTGCCATACTTTTTTGAAAAAGTATACAAAATATTTCTACGGTATAATAGTTATACCATATTTGAAGTAAGTAGCACAAAACTAAAATACATGAGGGTGTTTTGGCCCTTTTTTCCCCCAAAAGCACAAAACTTAAAAGTACAGACTTCTCCGATGCTAGGGCAATGATGCAGTGACAGTTTGCGTCAAAGGCAGCTAGCTACATGCGAAAAGCGTTTGGTCACGTTAAACATGTTTACTAAGAGGAGATACATAAAATGTGAAATGGCTATGTCCTTTGAATTTTGTACAAAGTTATTTTACTGCAGTTTTATCTGGAACTTTACTGTAAAATTGTATTGTGTAAAACATGTAACCGTGAATGTCTGTACTCCATTATTAAGTTTTTGTCTAAATGTTGACATATTTGAAAAACAATTGCTGTTTTCTGCAATAATATTTTGATCTCTGAAACACATATCTAATGGAAATTATGAGTGAAGAGGATTATAAAAATGAATATAAAACAAATAGAATTTATGTCTCGTAAGAAATAATATTGTTTTGTATATTTTTAACTGTTACACTGCCTAAAATTATAACATAGGACATGTATTTAAATGGTGTCATACAAAAAAGCACGATTGTTATGTAAAATGTATGAATAAACAGAAAATATTCGTAGTCTATAATCTGTTTGTTGATTTTCAGTCTTCGCTAAAAGCCATTTGTTAGAAGCCTGTATTTTACAATGACAGCCTAATTGTTTCGAACAGTATCCCTTAAAAATTATACAAATAAAGACATCAAAGAATACAATACAATAACCAATAAGCTGCAATTAACTGGGCTGAAATAATGAACGTGTTAAAAATACAGAGGTCCTAATGAATGGGAATGCCAAAGCCATAAACTCCAGCTCTGTCTGTTGTATTATTTAGTTTTGCAGGTACTTGTAGTCCCACGATTAATTGTCAAAGTAAAGAACGGATACACAGAATACAGATTACTATTTAGATTTCAACAAATGCATTGATCAGTTGAACAGTTAAATGAACCATGCTTTTTGGGAGTCAGTGAATTTAACATTGTCATTTTTACCATTGGTGATGCTCATTTTGTTACCATATATTTTTAGAGTGTATGTGGTTTAGTTGATTGAATGAATCCAGTGTAATTTTGTGGATTATACAGTGTATCTAATCACAAAGAGAGTGGTACCCAGTTGTTGAGGCAGAATGACAATACAATCCATTCTTACATTTCAAAATCATTTAAATATGGTTGTTTTGTCAAGAAAGGCAATATAATTTATTAAGGTATGTGTCTATGCTGATTGCTAAACTAGCTGTACTGTGTAATAACATTGTCTGATTTGTTAAAATGTTATTTGAACAGTTTTATTTAATGAATCTGCTGAAAAAGATTTAGCTACCTTAAATCAAAAATCATTGTTCTTATGTCAGGTTCATTAATTTTGTTTCTTAAATGAAAAGAAGATATTTAAAATGGAGGCACAAAAAAAGTGTAAGATCATGTAAGATCATATATTTTGTATGCTTGTGAAAGGGGATTTGTCCTACAAGATTCGATGTAAATTGAACAGACCAATCAAGATCTTGACAAAATATTTTGTCACTTATGTGTGGCAAAGAGACTCAGACAGAAAGCCAGAGCAGAACATAAAAAAATACACCCTATTTTCAAGAATTATGCTTAGATTCATGCACAAGCTAAAGCGTAAGTGAAGTGCAGGAAAATGCACGAGATAACACAGGACCAATCGAGTAACATTCTTTTACTACACAAACACTGACCAAAATAAACATGAGAATGATTAAAGAAAAATGATTGAAGACAAGCAATTTTGTTATAGTTCTCCCAATGACTTGTACAGATGTTACTACCCTGGGACATTTGAACACTTATTTAACACTCACATAATGAGCTAAAATGAAATATTAGGCTTACATTTACATTTAATTTAGGCATTTAGCAGCCGCTTTTATCCAAAGCAACGTACAAAGGATGACAACAGAAGCAACATCATTTCAGGGTTGTGCACTTCATCAGAAGTCCAGCTGAACAAGCCCAGTTTTCTTTACATGTGTGTTTTCCCATGTGTGCCTGTTTCTGTTCCAGATCTTCACATACGGTTTCCCTGAGTTTGCAAGCTGATCATTACCAGCTCTGCCTTATTTCTTCTTCTCGTCTTAGATTTATGGTAACACTTTATTTGGATAGTCCACTTTAGACATTCTATTAACAGTAAGTAACTTTGCAACTACATGTAAACTAGCAGTTAGTAGAGTATTAGTAGACTGTCTGCTTAATATCTTCTAACACTTTCTTTGTCAACTTATTCTACTAACCCTAAACCTACCCTAACAGTCTACTCTGAGAGTAAGTAGACATCTAGTTGCAAATTAATGAGAATTAGTTGACATGTAGTTGACATGTAGTTACAAAGTTACTTATAGTTAATAGAATGTCTAAAGTGGACTATCCAAATAAAGTGTAACCAGATTTATACTTACTGTCTACACATTATTTGCCAGGTTGTGCTTCCATTTACCAGAATCAGTTGCAGCATCTCCCAGGCTTTTTGACTTAGTTTGACTCATTTCTTTGGATTACTTTATCTGTCTTTTGATTATGAGTCTGCCTGCTGCTTTAGTCTGATTATCTGGCTTTTTGCTGCACTGGTTTTACTCTGTGTCCTTTTTTTTGTGGGAACTCTTGGGCCTCTGAAAAGGCACAAGGCAGGAGCTTGTGTGTACAACATGTACAACTTTTTCAACTTCCTCGGTAAAACTTCCTTACAACATTCAGGAGAAGTTCAAGAGACTTAGTATTTTACACTACTAAGAAGTAAAATTATCTAAACTGAGGTCATTATCAGTTACTACCTCCTTTGGAAGGGCATAAGAATCCAAAAAATTTCACATCAAGCTAAAGCAAACGTCCATTAGAGCTCAATAATTTTGTAGAAAAAAATATGTTGTATACATTTACATTTATTCATTTGGCAGACACTTTTATCCAAAGTGACTTACAGTTGAGGAAAACAACAAGCGATTCATCATAAGATAGTAATAAAGAGAAGTGCCCATTTTCAGTCATCGTTCAAAACAATAAAAGCTAGCACAGGAAGATATTAAAGGAAAATAAGAGCACAAAAAAGTGAAAGAAGTAGAATGTTTTTTTTTTGTTTGTTTGTTTTAGGAGGAGGCAATTAGATGCTCATGGAAGAGATCACTTTTCAGTTGTTTCTTGAAAGGGATTCCACCAATAGGGTACAATGAAAGGCAACGTCCTTGAGAGTGATTTTGTGCCTCTGCGATGGGACCACGAGCCGCCACTCATTTAACAACCGCAGGCTGCTGGAGGGGATGTAGATTAGGATGACCATACTTTAGTTTTCCAAAAAGGGGACAGTAGGGGGCAGGGACAAGGGCGGGGCTTCACCTAACAGTATATGTAGCAAGGTTTTTTTGTTTGTTTGTTTGTTTGCTTATTTTGTTTTTATAATAAATAAAAAGAAAACAAGTAGAAAGAATAGAAAAAGAACAGGGAATGCTAGTGTTAGAAGGTCATTTTTAAATAAATAAAAAAAACAAGTCAATAGAACAGAAAAAGAATAGATAATGCTAGTGTTAAGGTCATTATTTATAACAAATAAAAAGAAAATAAGTAGAAAAATTTGAGATAGAATACAGAATGCTAGTGTTAGGTGTTAGAGGCTCTTTTTTCTTTATAAATAAAACAAGTAGTTAGAATAGAAATAGAGGTAATGCAAAATGTTTCTATACAAGAATTTCAGTCAAATGTAATTTAACCTTTAACCCACTTGGGAAAATCAACCCATGGCAAGAGTTTAAAAGTAGACCAATTCTGTGGAAAAAAACGCGGACTTGGCAACCCTATACATCCAACAAGAGCTGCAGGAGTCAGATTTGACTGATCACAGGTCGAGAATAAGGAGAGATGACTGACAAGACCATGCTTGAGTATTTGCTGCTCAACAGATCCTGAGCTCATTGACAAATATCTGGTCTTGTAAGATGTGCTC